TTCCATAAAGGTTAGAGAATTAAAGACCTCATGTAACATTTTACTCATGTTGTTTGATCCACAGCTCTTGTCCAAAATTTTTCTAGAAGAGCTTTTCTTCTGAACCTTTTCAAGATCGATGAATAAAAACTTTGTTATTGTGGTCTTCCTAAAGGTTAATAAAAGTGGTTGGAACGTTTTTTAACATCACAAATTTTTCATTTTTTTGTGTAAAATGTGAAACAGCATAATAATTACATTGGAGCAGAATAGTGCCTTGTCAAGGTTAAAGGCGTTTCCCAAACTTTTTCTACGCCTTTGAATGCTCTAAAGATTCTTCAAAGCGATTATTACACTTTTGAAAACATAAATGCCTTATCGGCTACAGGTGCTAGTCATTCAGAAGCGTAGAAGAAATGCAACAAATGCACTTTGTGAATGCATGCACAGCAAGAGCATAGCATCATAGCTATTTCCACGTCCGACGATGACTTTACACCATAGTAGCTGTACGAGAAACGCCGACGAGCAACTGTTCGAATGGAAATGTGGAAAAAAATTAGATCAGGAGGAACGGTTGGGGATGGACTGTATGTAGCGCAATTTTCACAAGCGCAATTAATTTCAGGAGTATGAACCAAAGAAGGAAAATCTGATGCAATTTTATGAATTAAGATTGTATGAAAAGCTGATCTAGCATATTCTTGAAGTCAAAACTTTGTTATATGCCACTCAGGTTTGCTACGACGTGAATTTGGTCTACCGTATCGGCAATTATGCCTTCCTCGAGTGGCTTATAGCAAAGTTTATGACTTCAAGAAAATGCCCGGGTTTCATAATCTGAGAACATAAGCATAATATAATCTAGCATTTTTTTTTCAAGAAACGTTTTGCATCGCCCAGAACCCAACTCTTGATATGGCTCAGCAAAACCTAGAAACCCGTTGGAATTTTTGGGAATTTGGAGATTGTATGAAGAGATAATCTAGTAATTTTCAACTTTTTTGGCAGCGACTGTTATTAATAGTTTAATCATGTGCACAAAGCCATTTGTAAAACTAATCATAAGAAAGTCATCAAGAAAAATTCAAGGGACATTGAAGGAATTTCTTGTGTGCATGGAAAATAATGGTTTCTATATTTTTTGCATTTATGGACAAAGAAAGCATCAATTTTGAAGCCTTAGTTTTGCTTTAAACAAGTATTGATTTGATGAAGGGTGAAGGAGGAATGGTGCTTAGAAGACTAAAAAGTGAAGGGGAAGAGGAGCGACTCAGAGTTTCACATAACGAAAAATAAAAGTTTGCATTTCTATGTCCAGAAATGTATTTCTGCCACAGATATCAAATTTCTTCGGTTAAGAATGAGAGTAGAAAACCGACTGGGACTACAGAAAAGCGAGGAAGAGAGACTGAATGGATGACTTACAAAGCGACAGGGCAACTTGTCCGAAAATTTTGTTACTGGTAGATTTCTATAACAGTGTTTTCCAAGCTTTGAAAAATACTGGCATCTAAGGCCCACAGTGTAGAAAACTTCTGCGTTGGTTTATGCCAGTTGATCCATAGATACAATTGGAGGTCCCAGGATTTCCTTCCGGGGGGGGGGGGGGGGGTAAAAAATTTTTCAATGAAGGTGCATGGCGTCAGCCACGCACTCCGAAAGAATTTTAGGGGTGCTCCTCAAAATTTTTGGGTCTTCAACTTCTAAAATCTGGAAAAAGGGTACAAAAATAAACAAGTCACTTGCGCATTTTAATGACTCACGTAAGTAAAATTCAAAAAATTCAAAAAACTCATTCTCGGGGGGGGGGGGGTTCCTCTTGGTCCGCCACTGATAGATACAGAAATTATCCTAATTGATTTTGAATAAGAACCATGGTTTGAAATTGCACTTGCACGCACTTCCATCCTTTGACACTTTTTTCGGCAGTTTTCGGGATTAGTTTAGGCACAATTAAGTCGTTTCCTCATCTAATGTGTGCAAATACACACATTATCTATATTGCGTAAGATGCTGGATAACATTGAAATACGACGCATTTGTTCCCTGATAGCCCTAACGCTTTTAATTGGTTCTGGTTCCTTCGGTCATCAAGAAGTCTTTTGTTGAAATTTTCCAAATTGCTTATGCTAAACAAAGACCTTATGGATGATGTGCATTTGCACACATTTGGTCACGAAATGGTTTGACTATAACTGGATAACGTTGACTTATCTCTCATCCAGTGGGCATTAAGTATCATTTTATTAACTTGATCTGCATTTATTTCACATATCATTGCCGTTTGCAATGACGGAAACTATAAACAGAAGTTGGACGCTTTTCATGCACTTCTTTCCACATTTCAACTTTCTGAATTTCGAACGAAAGAGCTATGGACAGTGCGCATCGTTTTGCGATGAGACCTTTTTTAGCGAGACTGAAAAGAGTGAAAACCTTTCAGTCTGATACATGTGGATGACTTGCATGCAATATGTGTGAAATTCAATTTCAGAAAGAACTGGTCAGCGAAAGTGCACCCGAGAAAAAATATAGCCATGTGGTTTCGATTTTTGTTCGAGATTGCTGCAGTGCTCTTGATTATAGAGCAACCTTCGATGAGGTTCGGGCAAATACGCTATAATATATCGAAATTTTTTCTAAGATTTCAAACTTTTTTCAAGTTGTATTATAGAGCGTAAGTGTAGACCTTTAAATAATTACTGTAGGGTAAATAAATATATGTAGTAGTAAAGTGAAATAGATATATGTAGTACGATAATGTCTAGCGTCTTTGGCAACAATAATACACCCTCCTTCCCCCCCCCCCCCAAAAATGAGAAATTCAAAAGTGCTTTTACAGTGGGATGAAACGATATATGCAATATAATGGCAATGCTTAGCGCCTTTGACAACAGTAATACCCCCTTCCGCCCTTAGAATGAGACCTTCTAAAGTGCTTTATATGTAAGAACTGAAAATTTCGGAAACTTCAAAATATTGAGTGAATGATAGAATCTCGTATATGCGACTGTTAGGATCCCAACAGTTCCTAATATAGGAACTTTTCAAGCAAGCATGCCATGCTTCCTTTCTTCATAATCCAAAGTGGTATAAGCTTGTAGTTCAGGCTTCTGAAAAGTTTGGAAAAATGTGGTCAATCAATTTTCAAATAATCAAAGGGCAGTACCATTCATCAACCTGTAAGCGTCATTTCCAGTTCTGTCTAAAATTGTTGACTTAATTTTTACAACGGTTTTTTCAGCTGCGATTCACTCTGAGTCCTTTCGTAGTAATTCAAGACCCAGCCAGTAATCGGCAAAGATCTGTACGAAATTGAGTTGCAACTAAGCGCAATAAAGATGATTACTGCCTAGGAAGCCGATCGGACTCTGCTTATAAGGACGACAGCTACGATAACGAGCCGCAACGGCTTTGATTACAGATCAAATTAGAACGCTGTGGCTCGTAGGGAACGGCAGCGGTTCATACATAGTTGCGAATGAGTGCCAAATATAGGAGGGACGGTATCGACGTAGTTTTGGCTGGGATGATTCTTAAACTGTCAATTCAACCAAAAAACCTAGTTTTCAACTTGCATGTGCCGTGCATATGCATTCACACGCAATAATACGTTTGGAAAATTAGAAGTGCAATGACTCAATTTCTATACAAGTAGAACAAAAATAAAAAAAACAGTGTGTTTTACTTTCAGAGAAGGCAAATAGGTACTTTCGAACTATATATACAAATGTATGATAATGAAATGTGATGTTACTCGATAAAAAAACGTATATTATGCACATGTTCATGAATCAAAACTAGCTGAAATCTTCACATTGTACACTTTTTAGGGGGAGGCACAATCCTGGTCTTGTCCACATGCAAATCAGTAAAAAATAGTACTCTTGCTGATGGGACTAAAATAACAAATTATCATTGATTACTTGATAACTCGGGAAATATCCCTGTATACTTGTGAAGAAAAGAGTTTTAGTGACGGTATAAATACAATACGTATTTATCATGGAAGTACGGTATGCATAGTGCTTACTCAACTAAAGTGGATATGTTTTGCCAAAAAATTGTGTGAGGTCGTCTTGGGCCTTTTTAATCACCATCATCTACATTCTTTTGTGCGCTCAGAGCAAACAGTAATCATTACGATTTCGAAGGTGTAACAATTATGCCCCTCAAAAACATCTCGGGTTCCCCCTCACCCTATACCAACAAGGATGCCTTTTTTATGATTAACTTTGCATGATTCAGGCCAACGTTGTAACCTTTCGAATGTGCTATCTTCGAATAAAAGCTGCATGCAAAGCACTTATCTTCAAAGGAAGCAACTCTGAATTCCTCTCGTCTAATAACAGAGCATTTCACCACGCACAAAAATATGACGGAAAGGTCGTATTTTGAATAAACTGTGGTAAATATCGTGGTCGACGCTCAGTGAGCTCAAGCGATTATGACGAAAAGGATTTTGCCCTTACAAACTTGCTGAAAGTAAACGAGTCATGAATAACGACGTACGATGTCATTAAGATAAAGTCAAAGGGCGTGAAGTTTGGGACAGAATCGATGGCTTTGAAAAATCCCATGGGAGTTCGTGGCAAATTTGCCGCGACAATGGACGCATCAACAGCTTTGGTGGCGCTGCATCTGAGGAGATTTGGAATGCAAAGCGCGCTGTTTTGAGAGAATAATTTTTGACGAATTCTCGGAGTTTTATTAAATTTACCACAGATTTTTCAAAAACATGTATTATTTTCAATCAGACTGAGGAAGAATTCAAATAATTAAAAACAAACCAGATTATTGCGTTTCCTTTGCAGTGCATAAATTTCCAACTTAAAGATTCACCTATTTCTCCTTGAACGACTTGAGTCTGAGACTAGATGAAAGTTATTTATTCCGTGGAATCACTTTATTATATAGCAATCGAACAAATATGTACATAAAGATTGTGACAAATATAAAAGAATCCGTAATCTTTGAAAAGCTCTCGTTGAGATGATGGCACTTTGTGTCGAGTCGATCTATGGAACGGCCGCTACCGATATTTTGATGTAAGTAACGATGATTAGGAAAAGAATGAATGTGGCAACAGCGATGAATATGAACACCAGGATCCTTTTCTGAAAAATACGAGGTTATGTGGAATGACTGTTCTAAGGACGAACAGTTCAATGAATTTACCGAGAGCGAATGGGTAAACCGGGCAAAGAGAAGGTCCACTTATTCAATTTTTTGAAGTCTCCTATTTCAACTTTTTTTCAATCTAGTAAATCATGAATAGCATGACCATTTTGCCTTCAAATTTTTGCAAAGAAAACAGGAATTGTCATAGAAAGAAAATTTTGCGGAAACAAAGAGGTGGGAGTCCTTTGAGAAAAATTATCATATCACGAGTTTTGCTTTATTCTTGTACAACTTGCAGCCTGAAGATGAATGTTTTTTGCAAGAGAATGAATTTTTCATCGTGGCAACAGTAAAAGGCATAATAGTTTGTGATACCAAATCGACCGATTTGATTTTGTTACAAAAACTTAAATAAACTCAATGCTTTTGCAAAATAGGTTCCGATAATGACTGCGTAGAGTTTAGTTTAATGCCTACATCTTTCATTTATTTATTTTCCTTTCAAAATTATCTGTAAAATGTAGAAAAAGGTTGAAGATTTAACTTTTCACCTACCTCTCTTTCCTCGCTTCTCAGACGCAACGCTTCATCCAGATTTTTGGCAGTCATTGCAGTATATTCAGTTGCGTCGCTGATGTTTTTGTCAATTCTGTCAGTGTAGGCGTTCTGAAACTTTCTTTTCTATAATTAAAGAAAAACTTCTTGAAGAATTGGAAAATACCTGCGTGTGGACGATGAAGTTTAGATGCTCATGCAGTGCGTTCACTTTGGCAACTGCCTCTTCAAGAATATGCAAATCCTCGTTCCTTTGCTTGATTTCTTCCAAAGCTGCTTTCTGTTCGTTGTTCGCATTCTGAAAAGAGCAAATTACTTAGGTTTTTATTTTGATGGGATTTTGCCAAACCTCCTCATCGATCTCCTCAACCTTCAGTGATGGCGTGGCTACCTCCTCCTCCTCTTTCTCAGCCTAAAATCTCCACATTCAACAAGGATTCTGTATAGATTTGGCTAGAACTGCTTTGTAACCGAAAATGAAAGCATAACGGTGATGGTTGATCCACTTCGTTGCCCTTTTCCACATCGTTTATCTCCAATCCTGGACTTAGCAATCGAGTGCAATGTTCTACATTATCAGCAACAGTTTCCTGTACAAGCAAAATTAGGTCATTCCGAAAATTCCCTTTTCTTGTAAGCAATGATTGAAGGACTCGGACTTTTACATTTTTTTTGTTGAAAGCACAGACAGCATCTAGGAACGTGCTATATAATAGGGATGAAGTGCAGTGCCAGGGGTAACGTGAGACAAGCATTTTGTTAAAAATCTTTGAGATCGCTTCACATTTTCTTTCTGGAAAAAGTCATCGAAGCTGTTAAACTCATTTGTAGAATTTATGGTAAAACTGCAAGCGACAATGGAGTGACCGTTTCTAAAGGAAAACGTTGAGGTTGTTGTAAAGAAATTAGTGGCTCTTGTTTCCTAGCCTTAATCTACCCTAATACCTAACGAGCGTGAGTTAGCTCTAGTCAAATTGAACCAGAATACACAGAGACATACCTATCTAGATCTACGGTTAGATGGGTAATATCGATCTGGGCAGTTAAAAAAAAACTTAGGAGCTAAAATTAGAGGGTAAAATTCAATTAATTAGATACGGTGTTATTTGAGTGGACTGCATGAAGAACCTTCGGAGTGACCTAAATATTGAGGAACTGCGTATTTCATAAGGTAAGTATAACAAATATTTGCATAACCGCAAAAACATCTTTACTTGTAAAAAAACGAAAACTTATTCACTTTTTTAGACCTCTGATGTTTAAATTACTATTTCGAATGTCGAAACATTAACTAAAAAACATATATTCTTGAAAGCTCACCTCAGGTGTATTTAAGTCCTTATTCGTTCTTGTTTTCAAAGTGGAAGGAAATCAAATTTGCAAAAATCTGAGGTTAAGTTAGCATTGAAAGTAAATCCTCGAGAAGAGGAAACAACGAGCAAAGCACCGTTGGCAAGGAGCGCATGCACTTCGAAACTTAAGCAAAAACTTCTGCCTTGATTTCGTATTTCTACACAGTCACTATTATTTTTTATAAATTTTATTTTTTTTCCTATGCTTCAGTCCTAGTATATCAAAAGCAGTAACAAACTCACTTGATCAGGTACTTCAATGCGAGCTAGCCCAGCTCCTACGACAGGTTTCATGTTGAACTCTCCTGAAATTTGAGAAGAATCAAAATAATAATAGGAACTATATCTGAACCAAAGCGTTGCAAAGAAGAAAGTCTCACTCAAGTGTTGTTCAGCAGTCGGCTTGGATTCTTGGAGGAACGGTACCTCTTCTTTTCGAAACTTAAGGATCACTGAGTGCAGCGACTTCTTCAGACTTTCAGTCTATAAAAGACATTTAGACTCCTCCTTATGTTTGGTTATCGTGACTAGTTCTTGTTCATAGAAGAAGCAGAGCGACTGGAAAAGAAAATAAATACTTTTGTCATTATTCATCGTGCGAACGTGTGGTATCAGCGCAAGTTTGAATAACTGTGGACGTTGTATATGTGAATATATGTATATGTATGTATATGTATTATTTGCAGAGATACGGACGTTGTATGTATCTCTGCAAATAATCTAGAGACAATTACAGAACTAAGTATAATAATTTGGACGCGATATAGTGCGCTTGCGGTGACGACAACACTTGCGCGAGAAATGACCATTTAGCGCACAATCGTGAATTTGGAGCCCTATAGCCAATTTTTACGCCCAAAAAAAAAAGAACACCGTCAAACTACTACATATATGATAAGAATACCCTGATTTCTGGCAACATGCCAACGCAGTAAAGACTCACCTGATTCTTCCTCATGCGATAGTGTGCACACCTCTTATCAGTGGAGAGTTTTACTTCATCATGAAAATCTGAAAAATAAAGAAAGTGAGCAGGAATATCTCGGGACAATCGTTCCGCAAACACTTCTTACACATACCGTTGACGGCTGCAACGGCTTTGTCGAGATCATGAGAAAATTCTTCGATGACTTCTGACAGTTTCTCAAACAGTAGCCGAAGCCTCTCTGCAATAAAAAAAACTCTCTTGACAACTTCCTCTCACACAAAACTTATTCTCTAAAGAAAAAAGAATTTCGACTCGATAATGGAAAACACTTCTGAGTAAACAAAGAGTTCAGTTCTCCATAAAATACAAATTCTTTCCTCTAAGTTGCAAAAAAAATGTAGAGATTTGAACTTTGCATTTTGTTGCCGAGGTTTTTTGTTCTAACAAATTCGTGCCGATTGTTTGATGAGTTAACATTGTGAATTGTGCCAATAATCAATTTGTTAGAGTTGATGAATTGATTCCACCTTTTTGAGGAACCGTTCCAATTGCTGAAAAGAATTTCAGCGCTTATCTCTGTCAAAAAATGTCGATTTTGCTAGAAATTCGTGACTACTGTAAGAAGCATGAGTAAAAGTACAAAAAGCTACAAATATTTTGAGCTAGCGAATTTCAAACTTTTTAACCTTTCACTAATGCGACATTTTCCATTCAACGTAAATTTTGACAGTAATTGCTACAAAGTTAATACAAAGCCATAAGCGCTTATTTCCAAAAGCTTATTGTATGTAACCATAATTTTCTTGTCTTTTTCATTCTAAACATGCCACAGCAATGCTTTGGAAGAATGAAGCTCTGTTATCATTATTTTCCCCTTTATGAATCTACCATACATGGTGTAACTCTCTAGATCGGAAAAGGTATTATCTACCCTTTTCAAAACTTATTTGCCAGCAAACGATTATGTAGTTCAGCCAAGGTAACCAGTTTCAGGAGATTAGTGGAGCTTACAGAGTAAATACTACCGGTTTGTTAAAAAGTTCAATCACCTCTATCGACGTCCGGAGTGCTGTTGGAAACTCGCAAAAGGCTGTGCATCTGTCGGATTAGTTCCACTACAGAGTCCATTTCTGTGATCGCTTCCCGAACTGAATGCACCCTTTGTAGGAACTGAAAAATCCGACGAATAACTTGATAAGTTTGGGAGTTTTAGGAAGTATATGTATAAATATTGAGACACAACGGGAACAATGGTGTGAGTCCCGCAATTTTTTTCAGAAAATGTCTAGCTTTTATTTTTTCTATCGTAGCAATTATATCATAGAAAAGCTCAAGCGGAACTAGTGAAAATGTTTTAAAAATGAATTCATGTTTGTATGCTGAGGCAAATTTTCTGTCTTATAGTACGCTACCGTATCCAAAGAGAATCGCTACCGTAATTTAGAGGATTGGTGTACGTATGAAGTTAAAAATTGGTGATTAATTTCTTCGACCAATATCAGTTCATGTTAGTTAGAATCCAAACTTTTTTATGAATTACTGAAATAGAGGATTTGATATTTGTAGTTGCTTTTGACAAGTTGCCAAATCTATCGACATCAACAATAATCGGTCATGATATTTGAGAAAAATTGTTCAAGAAGCTCAACGGAAGTTTTACTTACATAATCAGTAGTTTCCTCTTCCTCTGTAGGCACTGTGATGACCCCATTCTCTAGATCTGGCTCGTCTTTGCTAATGAACCTCTGAAAAGAGCTTGTTTAAATACCGTGTCAGTATCAGTATAACGAAACACAGTCACCAATGCTACTACTATTATGACCAAATCAGAAATTCAAAAAATCGATTTATAGGAATCTAAGAAGAAATTGATATATTAGGTCGTCGGAAAGTTCGCGCTTACCCATACTCAAACCACTTAGAATGAAGATAGACAAACGCTGTAAGAACTCTCCGATGCAAAATTTCTTTCTCTTTCTAATGTTTATGTTTTTGTTAAGGTTTCCTTATGTCCGCTCATTAATCGGCAGGTATCCCCAACCCATGATTTTCACCTATCTTCAGTTCGGCTATTTTTTAAAATTTCCATCTTCAAGTTTTGGACTAGCTTTTGTAACAGTAAGATAGAATAAATAAAATGCTTTCAAACTTTTGGACCAACTCATTATTTTCCTTCATGGCTAAGCACTCGAATGCATGAAAATCGGTTTCTAAAAATAAATGAGTTTCGGATTAGCACTATTCAAAATAATGCTAATCCGAAATCCCAAACGATAATCGGTCAGCTTAACTTGATTTGTGAGTCACTCAATCATAAATTCAAATATGTTGTTTGCTTATTTTTCCCAACATAAGCGATCACGGTTCATCGTCATATTCGACCAGATATGTAAGATCAAAACTCAAGCTTACCTTCAAGCTAGCCAGCCGATCCTTGATAGGCATGGCTGGATCTGAAATGTGCAAATCTACGACGACTGAATTCACGACAGCGATTGATGTAACGCAAAGGATTGCAAGAAAATCGCTGATGTTTTTGTTACATCAGTTCATATGACGAAGTGCGAGGAAAGAAAAAAGTATCTGATTCATTGAGATTATCGGAGAGAGCGTGACAAAGAAATACACACTTTTTATATCGACTCAGTTTTACGATGACTCACTTCAATTTAGATTATGTTTCGCTCATTGTTTCGGTCTTCTGTAAACAAAACGAATTGTTTCAGGCAGTAGATGAGAGAGATAAAAGCATTTCCATGTAAAAAAGGCACAAAGCACTACTTTACAGTAGCTTGAAATCCTTTTGCGCAGTCCCATTTTCGTGACTGTCCAACTCAACAGTAATTAAATAGGAGGAAGCAGAATTTGAGCATTTGAGTGGAAGAAAACTGAGCAATCTGAAAAAATCAGACCAAATAAAATTCTCAGTCAGCTAACTTAGCAGAAAATTCGACTCTAATGATTGAAAAATTACAAGTACTTCGCCTTTCTATATGATTGACAAGAGAATTTGTGATATACTTATGAGGTTGATACATACATCCTGCAAAAAATCTGTAAATTTGCAACAATGTCCATTTTCTACGAAAGTCGCTCATTTAATATGCTTTAGAGGGAAAATTGATGCGTTTTGCTTAAAGGAAAAATCATTGTCGGCCTGTTGCCGTAATACAAGCAGAAAGGAATCACTCCAACTGTACTTTCCAGCAAAAGAGAAAATTATATGAGTTACTTCTACTCCGTTTCTTTCCAACCCTTAGACGGAGTTTGTCTTGATTTTTATGTCTTCCCCGGAACTCCTCAGTAGGGAAGGAATCAGTTTCCAAAACTGTTAAACGCTTCATCGATCTGAATCTATTTTGTATTGGCTTTACGAGTCAACCAAAAGAGATTTCTCTAAGCTTTTTTGGTACAAAGTTATGTATTAACTCATTACAAAGCGAAGCTAAGCACAAGCATTATTTCTCTATTTTTTCGAACACATCGCAATTCCTCGACTAATAATGATCAACCCAAACTACACGAATTATATTCAAAAATAAAGCGCTTAGAGCAATTCAAAAAATCTTTTAGCAGCTAAGGAAGACAAACTTTGAATCAGAAAATCTTGCAACAAGGATATGCATCACTTTCTATACGAAAGGTTTGAAAATTCCGATAGAAAAAACAATAGTCTAATATGTTTAAGAAAATCAAAACCTAGCGAAAATCACCAGTTAGACTATGTAGCTAGAATTCCTCTTTGCAATTATTAGACATTAAAGACTGCCGTGTTGAATGTAAGGCCAATTCATGCATACATATGCATATGAAAAAGAGCAAAGAACGATGAAATTTTTGTTGTCGGTAAAAAAGCAGCACATTCTTGGGCTGCAAAAGGACACAGCAACGCTGTCTTTTGAATACAGTACCCATTAAAGAGGTGGTACTCTCCAAGAGATACTGTAACGTCATCTCGTGCTGAAACGCGGGAAGATCCTACGTTATAATAAACACTTTTTTCGGTGTTGGAAAGATTTTTCTCAAATCAAAAATGTTCTTGCACTTGGTAGCTCTGGATGAATCCAAAAATGCTAAGGTTCCCAGGAGCTCTCCAAAAACATTTTTCACTATTATTTCGATCACGCAAATTCTAAAAAAGAATTTAGAACTGACAATAATCGGGCAAGAATGACAAAATATGAGGAAAAAACTTGCAGGCAGATGACATCACCATCAGATAAATCATTATGCAACGATAAGAAAAAGAAAAATGATGAATGACATTCTCTGCTAAAAGAAATCGATAAGGTTGGGTAAAATTAAACTCATCAGTAGATCTTAAATCCATAATCTGGTTTGCGATAAGTTTTTTCCAACAACAGCAACAATCGCAACCATCAATAATGTCTGAAAAACTGCAAAGAGTACAATGTCTACATAGAGGGAAGGGAATTCTTACAAAAGAAATCTCTGTCCAAGATTAAGCGAAAAGCAAGATTGTCAACGAGGACTAACAGTCTACCGGAAAAAAGTGAACTAAGAATGTGATTATACAGCTAAGCTGGAAAAGCTGGGCGAACCAGCAGAGAGCAAAACTGGATGCATTCGGGACCAATAGTCCAAATGTTTTTTTCTCGAGTTGTCAATATTGACTCGAATTGACGAAGCGATGTTTGACGCAGAGATCAGTTCAAAAAAAAAGACCCAGTTCAGCGGATTGATTCATTGAAGGTCACGAAAATGTCGATTTCCTTCTCTTCGGAAATTTTTCAGCACTCCGAATTTCCTTATTAGATATCTGGATATTTTTTGCAAATATTAGAAGATTACTTGCCTAGACAGATTGTTCCGAAATTTTTACAGGATATGAATTCCAATATATATTTTTGTGGATGATAATTTTCGATAGACAAGATTTTAGCGTTTTCTTCAACATAAAAAAACTCTAAGTTTTTGAGGGGTTTATAATATGTTGGGTAAAACGCTAGAAATTCTAATTGAATTCCAGCAATAATTACGAATTTCTAATATTTGTAAACATCATCAAAAATTGGAAATAGAAGAAAGCGCTAAATCTTATATATAAAGCTGAATGTCTGTTTGTCTGTATGTCTGTCTGTCTGTCTGTCTGTCTGTATGTATGTCTGTGTGTACGTATGTTCCGAATAGAAAATTCCATTTCTGAACCGATCCGGACCAAACTTGGCACACATACGCTACGGGCCCCGGCGGGTGTCATAGGCTACTTTTCGTCATCGATCGATATCGATTTTATCGATTTTTATCGATTTTTTTGCTGAGTTCACCTACGGGGCTGGGAGTTGGCACAGGGGGGTAATCGAACATGGGGATTCCGAATACAATATTGGTTTTCAGGATTATCGATTACTTTTATCGATTTTATCGATTTTTTTGCAAAGTTTGAGCTACGGGGCTGGGAGTTGGCACAGGGGGGTAATCGAGCATGGGGATTCCGAATACAATATTGGTTTTCAGGATTATCGATTACTTTTATCGATTTTATCGATTTTTTTGCAAAGTTTGAGCTACGGGGCTGGGAGTTGGCACAGTGGGGTAATCGAGCATGGGGATTCCGAATACAATATTGGTTTTCGGGATTATCGATTACTTTTATCGATTTTATCGATTTTTTGCAAAGTTTGAGCTAGGGGGCTGGGAGTTGGCACAGGGGGGTAATCGAGCATGCTGATCATCCCCAAGGGGGTGATCAGCATGCTCGATTACCCCCTGTGCCAAATTCCAGCCCCCTAGCTCAAATTTTGCAAAATCGATAAAATCGATAGAAGTAATGGATAATTCCAAAAACTAATATTGTATTCGTAATCTGCATGCTCGATTACCCCCCTGTGCAAACTCCCAGCCCCGCAGGTCAAACTTTACAAAAAAATCGGTAAAATCGATAAAAGTAATGGACGATCCTGAAAACTAATATTGTGTTCGTAATCAGCATGCTCGATTACCCCCCCTGTGCAAAATCCCAGCCTCGCATGTCAAAATTTACAAAAAATCGATAAAATCAATAAAAGTAACCGATAATTCTGAAAACTAATATTGTATTCGGAATCCCCATGCTCACTTCCCCCCCTGTGCCAACTCCTAGCCCTGTAGGTGAACTCTGCGAAAAAATCGATAAAAATCGGTAAAATCGACATCGATCGATAACGAAAAGTGGACTGTGACACGCGCCGGGGCCCGAAGTGTATGTGTGTCAAGTTTGGTCCGGATACGGCGGAGCCGGGTAAGCCAGCTAGTCAGTAATAATCAATACCTACTCTTAATTGCAAAGCTTGCGCGAATCTGATTTCGAATAAATTTTCCAAAAAAAAGAAAAAACCCGCTTATACCTAGTATCGCTGCACACAGTGCTATATGTAGTGGGCAGGCAAGCGCGGAATAACCAAACCCTCTAATCCTGTTTGGTAACCTCACTGTGAGAGGGAAATGAGTCAGCAATCGAGGCGTATATAAAACCTATACAAAAGGAATTATCGACATGTGGGTGTCGCTTTTTCGTGGTGCGAAAACTAATGACTAAGATGAAGTAGACTCATTGCAGTGACGGCAATTAGATTTGATGACGTCAGTGAAAAATTCGCAACAAAAAGTATTTCCACGATCGAGGAAGGGATATGGAGTGCCCATTTCACTTTCAGACTGCTTGCAATGAAATCGACAGCACAAGGTGGTTGCAAACTTTGCTGGATTTTTTTCGAGATCGGATTTTCCTACTTTTGCTGAACGGCTGAACTTACGAACCAATAAACTCTGTAAATGATTTACTTTAGCCGGATCCCAAGGGGAAGCAAGCACTTGAATTTTTGACTGTAGCCTTTCAAGGTCCAAAAAAGAATTTTGTGAGCATGCTAAAAGCTTAACATTGTTACAAGACAGTCCGAGTTTCATAAAAGCGAAGAACGAGTAGAACAAGACTCGAGAGGAGGAATCGAGAAAAGAACTTGAGCGCGTTTTCACCACATATTTGAACGAACTCTAATTGAGTGCTAATCGATAAATTAAGGAAACATTAACGCAGATAGAAACAAAATGTGATGGAAAAATAGAGTAGATTGATCAGAAGGGAAAAGAGCTCAAAACATCAGCTTTTTTTCAATTTAGATCTTTGCATTTGCAGATCGAAACAAAAACTTTAGCAAAACACCTGTTTCGTCGGTCTTGCAAATTTATAAAAGTTCAGTGGAGTACTTTATTTTCATAGGATTTTGCAACAAAAGCAAGTGGAAAGATTATAATTTTTTAAGAGCTAAACGAACGTTTTGCTCGGACATATGACTCACATCAACAACATTTCTATCTATCAAATGTCAATTTCGTAGCCTAGACATTGAAAATCAGTGTGAATAGCTCCTGCATCACACAACTTTTGAAAATAAAAAAAATTCGTGAGCGAACAACACAGCACAAATGCACATTCAGACAGAACCACTCTTGAATTCGACATCGCTTTGAATTGTTCTGTGAAATGTTAACGCTTTGG